TGAAAATGAATAATCTCAAGCATCGGACAAAGCAAACAAATGAGAGTTACACATTTCACGGACCCCTTATGAGTTTCTGGTCAAAGTCATATCCCATAGCAAAACACTCTAGATGTCAGCACTATCAAGATGCCTACTCTGATGACCAAAACTAAATGAGGAAGATCACAAAGATCACTCTCTACTTCTGTGAAAGATACACTAACAGTGGACTGTTCTTGCATGAAGCGCAGTCAATCAACGTGCTTTTCCATTTAAATAGTTAATTTATCAAAATGCAAAACAAAGCTATGGCAAGATTACTTCCATGCCTACATTAGGGGTGAGTATTGGGGAAATTTTAACTACTGCAACTGTATTGCAATAGGCCACAGGGTTATTGCGATAGTATTGCGATGGTGGAAGTACCATTGCAATAGTATTGCGATAGCTTTCAGGAATATCTGTTTTTAATTAATGCCTTATACTCTAAGAAATAACTAAGAAGTGGTGGTCATACAATACAGTTACTATGCGGTTCAAGAATCAAGACGCTTAAACATTCTAGGTGCAGTAGGATGGGAGATTGTTTGCAGTTTCTTTTTTACCATTATTGTGACCTTAAGAATCGAAGATGGGTAAAACAGGTGTCTTCATTTTCCAAAGACGTCAAAATGTTAGAAGTATAGAAACTATCAAAACTATCAATAGTTTGCTACACTATCGCGATTGTTATCGATGTTTCATTTTTGCTATTGATTCATTGCTATTGCAGCGTTAATATCGCGATTAATCAATACTTTGATGTATTGTAACAGCCTTAGCCCAAATGTAAAGACAATATTTATTCCCAATTATAGCAACCAACAGGTCCAAGATTAAAATGCAAAAACTGGTGTAAAGAGAATCTTTCTGCCAACCAACCTGATGAGCATAGATAGTATCATAAATAAGCGTCCAGTTGATTCCTGCTAAATACAGTGGCAAGCAAACTGACCAATCACAGCTTCCTTGGACAGCAGAATAGCCAAGAAGGGCACCCCAGTTAAATGTCAGGCCTATTACAAGAAAAATAATGCACTTGTTGGGTGTGGTTGAAAAAAGAAGTCATGGCAAAAATTAAAGGGGCAAGTAATTCAATAAGCCCATTCAAGTACATGGGCAGCTGTAATTATATAAACTGCAGATGTAGAAAACAGAGGGGACAGCTACATTGTAGCTAAGAAAAAAGTGCAAAGAATGGAACTCGTTTAATTAAACAGCTGTCACTGCGGAAGTGGAAAACTTACGGAATGGCTAAAAACTAAGTAGGTAAGAAAAAAACACAAAGAGTGGCTATTAGTATAAGCAGATATATATAATAAATGGCATTCTTGTGATTGGTGTAAGTTCAAAGTTCTGTTAATACAGCCGAACCTCCAGTAACAGCCATCTCTCTACAACATCCAGTTTTTTTGGCAGACAGTTCATACATTGACTCTTGTTTACACCTCTCTACAATGGCCACTTTCTTCTGCCCCAAGATGGCTGTTGTGGAGAGGTTCAACTATGATATTAATTATTATTGGTTGCAAGGATGTGACCTGGTTGCTTACCAAGGAAGGCTTGAGGCCAGTAAGTGATCCGTTTCATATATGGATAAGTTATGACAAGACCAAGCGATGATGCACCAAGCACAATACTGTTTGAGGAAACACACAAAAACATAAAACCAAGTTAAATTTTTTGCCCAAGAAATTCTCAAGCTTAAACTAGGTAAAGAAAAGCAGAAACAAAGATGGGAATGGTCAGCTTGATCAAAAATGATCATCATTAAGTTCCTAAACAGAGTAAATTAGGGGCATTCATTCCTTTTTAATAATAAATAGATTTAATAATAATTTCATTTACCCTCAGCAGTATTTATAGCACTAATGCNCAGTTAAATGTCAGGCCTATTACAAGAAAAATAATGCACTTGTTGGGTGTGGTTGAAAAAAGAAGTCATGGCAAAAATTAAAGGGGCAAGTAATTCAATAAGCCCATTCAAGTACATGGGCAGCTGTAATTATATAAACTGCAGATGTAGAAAACAGAGGGGACAGCTACATTGTAGCTAAGAAAAAAGTGCAAAGAATGGAACTCGTTTAATTAAACAGCTGTCACTGCGGAAGTGGAAAACTTACGGAACGGCTAAAAACTAAGTAGGTAAGAAAAAAACACAAAGAGTGGCTATTAGTATAAGCAGATATATATAATAAATGGCATTCTTGTGATTGGTGTAAGTTCAAAGTTCTGTTAATACAGCCGAACCTCCAGTAACAGCCATCTCTCTACAACATCCAGTTTTTTTGGCAGACAGTTCATACATTGACTCTTGTTTACACCTCTCTACAATGGCCACTTTCTTCTGCCCCAAGATGGCTGTTGTGGAGAGGTTCAACTATGATATTAATTATTATTGGCTGCAAGGATGTGACCTGGTTGCTTACCAAGGAAGGCTTGAGGCCAGTAAGTGATCCGTTTCATATATGGATAAGTTATGACAAGACCAAGCGATGATGCACCAAGCACAATACTGTTTGAGGAAACACACAAAAACATAAAACCAAGTTAAATTTTTTGCCCAAGAAATTCTCAAGCTTAAACTAGGTAAAGAAAAGCAGAAACAAAGATGGGAATGGTCAGCTTGATCAAAAATGATCATCATTAAGTTCCTAAACAGAGTAAATTAGGGGCATTCATTCCTTTTTAATAATAAATAGATTTAATAATAATTTCATTTACCCTCAGCAGTATTTATAGCACTAATGCTAGCAGGGCCGAGCAAATGCCTGTAACAGATAATTCAAATTGAACTTAACCAGGTTAAGAATCCCAACTGACCAGTGGCAAACCAGTTGGCTATTTAGTTGATAAGGTAGATTGGCCACAATAGGGGGGATTGAGAAGCTGGCGTTAAATTCAAGCCCTAGCCTTTTTCTAAAGTGACTCTGTTCATTCTGAAGGTCATTAATGATTAGCTCTGATAAACAAATAGTGCTCAAATTATCAGCTTCTCAATCAGCCCCTACAGTGCCCAATCTACCTTATCAAATCAAATTTGTTAATAATACCAGAGTGGTTGTCATGGTTTGATTGATGAAAGTCATAATATATTCAGATACCTGTAAGTGTTAAGAGAGAGTAATATTCCTAACCCAATTGACAACTGCGCTCCAAGGAATACCAAAGATTGGAAAAAAGTCATAGAGCCGGCTGCTAAGGGTCTAGAAATGGTACGAGTAACCTGGGAAAAAAGAAACAAACATACAAATAGTAAAAAGGCAAATTAACCATCTTTAGCCATATACCAGCTTCTGTTAGGTTTACAATGAAGCTGTTCAAAGCTTAGCCTGAGAAAACAGCCAACATTCTGTGACGCCACCAATAATTCCCCCCCCCCCTCCCCAAAATGACATCTGAGAAACGAGTGCAGAAATTCTTTACTGATGACACATTACTCCAGATCACATATCAACAGTACGGAATTTCTGCACTCATTTCTCAGACATCATTTTCTGGGGGAAACTAGTGGTGGCATCACGAAATGTCAGCTGTTTTCTCATGCTATCAAAAGCCCTCAATTACTCTGCAGCTGTGTTAATGCATACTGCCCAAGGAGGATTAGGAACAGTTGAAATCAACAGATGTCTCAGTAGTTCCCCAAGTAGAATCCCTCTCCTAGTCACGTCACTATCCACATACAGTAATGGTATTTACCTTCTTGTCAAAGTCCACATCCCACATGTCATTAATAGTGCACCCCGCCCCTCTCATCACCAGGGCCCCTAGTCCAAACAGAGCTAACAACTGGAGATCTGGTAAGGAGCCTGGAGAAGCCGCAAGTCCTATGC